CATGCAATATGGTTTTGAGGGTACATAGGTTGGGAATTTTGGAAAAGATATTGTAGTGCCTTTGTCTGGAAAAGGTCAAAATCCTTGCCCAATGTCACTTATGAAATTAGTTGTGTAACCCCCTAGATTTTGTCTTCCCTCTCTGACCTTAGGATCCCAGAGAACCATGTAATGGATGGAGGAAGGAGACACAGTAGGTGTAAGTATGACCAAGCAAATAAATTGAGCACATGTACTGAATGAGTTGATTACAAGGGAACAGATGGCTCTCTCTTGATTTCTGCTGGAATGCAGGGTTGGGAACAACATCATTCCCTTGGAATAAAAGAGCAGTTTGCCATGAGTGAAGGCTGCACATTCTGCAGATCCTCTGTGCTTCCCTTTCTGTCTTCATTCTTTTCTTCCATGAATGTGTGCTAAGAGTCTGTTCGGTGCTGAGAAATGATGACACAAAGATGAGGGCAGATGTTTCCTGCTTTCAAGGAGTGGATGTGCTCTCTGGAGGTCCAGTCTGCAAACAGGGATATAGTTAGATAGAACTGGGAGCCCAGAGGACTTTCAAAAGCACCCAGCACAAAGGAGGAAATGTCACTTGGAGAAAGTGAGCAGGAAAAGGTTCAACAGGAGAAAGTACTCCAGATGAGCACCAAAGGATGGAGGCCATGCTTCTCAACTAGTTTGCAAAAGCAGGAGACAGCAACTCAGCTCTACCTGGGACACTGCTTTCCATAGCTTTCTCCTGCTCAATGTTAGTTTTGCAGCTGTTTGCTTCTATTTCTTTGCTTCTATTTCTTCCATTCAGAGGTTAAATGGAAGTGAAATTTGTTTATCTGGCTTCTACCCAAGGAAAAATGAGGGAAGTAAACTGGCAAATTAAAGACTTGAATATAGTACAAACTCTTTTATTCAATTGCAATGACTATTTTATTTTTTATTTGATGTGAATGAGTGTTTGGATGCATGTATGCATGTGCTCCACATGCATACCTTGTGTCCCCAGGGGCCAGAAGAGGGTGTCAGATCTCCTGAAACTGGAGTTAACTATGAGTCACCATGTGAGTGCTGAGAATCAAACCTGAGCTCACTGGAAGCCCAAGTGCTCTTAGCTGTTGGGCCATCTCTCCCGCCCAACTGCAATGATTTTAAAACACATCTTTCTTAGTCTACACTTACCATCTAATTTCTTAGGTTTATGAAGTACTTAGATGTTGGCAATACTAACAAAATGATACAAAAAAAAAAAAACACCAAAAACAACAACAAAATACTCCTTTGCACACTGTTCTCTCTCATTTCCCAGGCACAACACTATTTATTTGATGGGTCTCTTTCTGAATTTTAGATTTATATGACTATCACTACAATATTTTAAAATAAAAATGAAGTTGTGTCACTGAGAGTGTTAATCCAGTCTCTTCAACTTGCTTCTCCCTTCTCCTCTTCAGCTCTCTGCAGAGCATGAACACTCTCAACAACAGTTTTTAGAGGGAAGGCCTCTTTATTCTTCTACGCAAAAAAAAAAAAAAAAAAAAAAAAAAAAAAAAAAAAAACTTCAGCATTAATAAGCATTAAGTAGACTTATCTTTGAGTCAAGAGGAAAAGTGATAGCATACTCAGCACCGAGAATGGTCCTCTGCTTTCTATGTTTTTTTCCTCAATGTCATGTCTTCTGTATCATCAGCTTTTGCACATGTCTGAATGTTATTTATCCCTTGTACCTAAACCTCACTTCTTTTTCTTAATGTTCATAGTAAACTCTGTGTGTGTGTGTGTGTGTGTGTGTGTGTGTGTATGTATGTATGCATGTGTATTCGAACACAAATGCAAAGAACAAAGGCTCCCTTTTGTATTGGTTCATATGAACAGTTGAGACATTGCTAGAGTGGGTGTTTCTTGGTGTGCTACTTATGAGTCTATCCCAGTCATTTCACTCTCTGGATTAATATCCTTTGATGAGTCTTCTGTTCCTTCTGCATCTGGCTTCTGCTTATTTAGTTGTCCATCACATAGTTTACTGTTTAGTTAATCTTTGTTGTTGTTGTTGTTGCTGTGGGGAGATAAAGAATTTATTTTATTTTTTGCTCACAAATTGAGAGTATGATCTATCGTGGAGGGGAAGTCATGGCAGCAGGAGCTTGGGGCAGCTGTCACATTCTGAAGCAGAGAGAGATGATTGTTTGTGATCAGCTGGCTTTCTCCTTTGTGTTCAGTCTGGCACCCTGGGTGGTACAGCTCACAATAGGCAAGTCTTCCCAACTTGTTTAGCCTAATTGAGATAATCTGTTTGTCTTAGTTAGGATTTCTATTGCTGTGAAGAGACACCATGACCACAGCATTAATAGAGGCTGGTTTGCAGTTCAGAGGACTAACATTGTCATGATTGGAAGCATTGTGGTGCACAGGCAGGCACGATGCTGGAGAAGGAGCCAAGAGTTCTACATCTAGACTATCATCTTGCAGCAAGAGCAAGAAAGCCACTGGGCCTGGCTTGGGCATTTGAAACCCAAAGCCCACATGTCCTCCAACAAAGCCATACCTACTCCAACAACAGTTGTTTTTGTTTGTTTGTTTGTTTTGTTTTGTTTTGTTTTTTTCAATGTGAGACAAAAGGGGTCATCTGGGAAGAGGGGACCTCAACTCTGAAAATGTTTCCATTAGATTTGCCTCTCAGGGCTAAGTCGTTGCATTGTTGCATGGCTTTCAGGGATTGACCTGATTGGTTCCACAAGGGAACAAAACAATGATGGAAACATGGACTCAAGGGCATAGAAAAGCTGGGATCAGAGAGACTAGGATCTCTGAAGGAGAACCCACAGTAAGTTTAGTGTACACAGTTGCAAAGGTAGGAACAGTCTCTTTAGGGGAGCAATCTTCAGGCTGTAAACATCCAGGGTGGGTCATGGGGAGAAAGCTATGCTGGGCAGTCTCTGCACACATTGACAGCCTCTACACATGAACCAGTTGTGCCTAGCCATCCCTCTGAGCCTCACCCTGGAGGGAAGGCTTTACGTTTACCCATGGATCTGAGGCTATGGTCCTTGACATGACCATGACCATGTCAATAACATGTTCAGTCAGGCCTTTACACACTCAGGGCTTCCTCTATTCCTCACAGGTAGACAAGTCCATTGGGGGCATTTTCATGATTAATGATTGAGAGGTAGAGGTCTAGCTCACTGTATGTGGTCTGAAGTATAAGAGTGAGTAGCCAAGTGTGAGCCTGAAGCCCAAGCCAATAAGCAGCCTTCCTCCATGGCTCCTGCTTTACTTCCTTCCTCCAGGTTCCTTGCCTGGAGTCCCTTCCATGACTTCCCTTCCTGATGGACTGTAAATTGTAAGATGAGAGACCCCTTCCCCACAAATTGTTTTTGTTGGTGTTTTATCATAACAACAGACAAGTCATTTTCTCAAGAGAAAGAATCTAATGGGCTGAGGGGACTTCAGGTCTTAGGTAGATTTCAGGGTATTCCATGACCCAGTGCCCTTTGTTCAGGCAGATGTGGCTGAAGAAGAGTGGAGGAATTAGACACCATGGCTTTCCCCATCCCTGATCTGTTCAGTACCTTCTATAAGGATTTCCAGGTTTTACTATGCATTTGTATCGTCTCCCATAGGGACTGCAGTGATCTGGATATATTAAATATCCAGTGGATATCAATAGAGTCAACAATTATTCCCATGGTATTGGATTCTCTGTGGGCAGAGAACAAGAATCACAGATGGAGAGATGGCTTAGTGGTTAAGAATACTGCTCTTACAGAGAACCCAAGTTCAAGTTCCAGAACCCACAGCAGGTGGCCTACAATTTCCTGTGTTCCTGATGTGTGTGCATACACACACGCGTGTTCACACACACACACACACACAGGAGAGAGAGAGGGGAGGAAGAAAGAGACAGAGGGAGAGACAGAGAGACTAAAAAGAAACCTTTTTTGTAATAAATTCTTTCCATGTCACTGCTCTACACTTATGGGACATTTATTTGTGGGGGAACTCTGGAATATTCTAATGTCACCTTCTCATAGTCCCTGCTATGCCCTATTGGTTCTTGCTGACTATTGCAGCTCTCTCTGTAATTTTCTATCTGAAGTGTCACCAACATCCCTCATTCATCTTAGTCATCCTTTATCTTTCTTTCCCTTTCTCATGGCCCAAAGGCAAAGTCATCCCAAGCTTTAGCTTTACTGCATCATATAGTTTATACCTTTGGTCTTTGCTCTCTGTTGTTACTTATAGGTTTGTTCTTTCTATTGGACTATGAACACTTTCAGAACAGGCAGCTCTGTCAGTCATTATCACACCATAATACCAAGTGAAATGATCATCGTGGGGCCTCCACTAAGTTTTACGAGGAAAGTATCCTTCACATATGGTTATGCATTTTACATATTTCATGTGATTTTTTAGACAAGATACGGAGCTCTGAATGTGGAAATCCTGATAACAGGTTTCTAATAGTACTATGAAAGTTTCCTGACCAGTGAATGAAGAACAGTGTAAATTTGTGTTGCACACCCATCACCATGCAATAATGAATGAATACTCTATCAGGAGGGATCCTGGTTAGGAAGCTGATAAACTAAATCCAAACTGCCTTTCTCAGAACTTTGAAGAATTCAGAGTAGAATTGAAGATGAAGACTTAAGAGTTTGAGTACCTCTGTGCATGAATTTACTTACAAATAAAAATGGAACTAAAAGTATAGATGTAATCTAGTAAATGAAATCTATCCTTTTCAACTATAGAATTACATTATTCTAATAATTATACCTACTAAAGTATATATTATATATATTATTATATAAATGACTTGTGCCAAATTGCCCATAAACATTATAATAAAAAGCAAACAAATATAAAAATGTCTGTTTTTAAGCAGTGGTCCATGCTTGAGAGCTCTCTTGACTTCTAATAGATGTGTGAATGCATTTAGTGGTAGCTTCCACAGTGCTTCTGTTTCTTTAAGAGACTATGGTTGTGAAGTCAGAAGATCACTGAACCATGAGGGTCAATAAAAGAATAAAATCCCTGGTTAGCGATGCGAGTACAAGGAACCTGATCCCAGTGTATGTTCATATGCTGCTCACAGTCAACAGAGGAGTGCCAGATACTTGGCTTGCTTGCTGCTCCTCAGGATGGTTTCTGGAAAAATAATTAAGCTGGTGGTTTTTGAGCTTCTGGAGTTTGCTGCCTTCTCCATTCCTACCCTGGTGACAATGGAACAGTTTGCTTCTTCCTATCAGAAGACAAAGATTACATCTGACAGAACCCACTATTGGCTGATTGTTTCCTGTTCCATTGCCTATGTGGCTGCAGTGAGTCTCTTGATCTGGGTTCCAATAAAAGTTGTCTTATACAAGAAACGGCATCTTTACAAAAAAATTATAGGATGGTAAGTAAAAGAGCTCATTAGCAGGGAGTTCCTGCCATGTTTTTAATTCATGAATGTGATGTGTGCATGTGTGCCAAGCAAATGAACTTAGCACAAGTGTGTATTAGATTAATGATGACACTGCACTCACTGTCTGGAAATGTATTGATGTTGTGGTATCTTTTATATATTCTATATAAACATACTGATGTTATGCTATTGCTGTATTTTCTATGATCACTTTTTTCTGCATAACAAATTACGTGTGTTAACAAGGTATGCTGATTTGAATGTTGCCAGTACTTTCTCAGTACTCTGAACTGTACAAAGTCTCCAGAGTTGCCCTGCACACAGCATGACCAGAACATTAGCATGCAGAATCTCACTTCTGTGCCAAACTGAAAGCAGCACTTCCTTCTATGGTTTACACTGCACTTTGTGGGTCTAAGGCACAATTTGGCCGTTCATTAACTGAGATTTTTTTTTAAGGCAACTTGATTACCAAGATTTAAAAAAAAAAAATGCTTAAAGTGGTGTTAAGTCCTATTAACCCTTGCAGGGAGAAAATATAACTTCAATAATACAGAATTACCTTAGGTAAAGATTTGATGTCTCCAGGTTCAGTGGCATGTGCCTGCATACCCAGCAATCAATCGGGAGGCTAAGGTAGCAGGAGCTAGGGGGTTATAGGTCAGCGTGGGCTACATAGCAAGACCCTGACTCTTTAGAGAGAGAGAGAGAAAGTGAAAACAACAAAGAAGTCACCTTATTTGGCATTTCCTGTCAGTTTTGGCTGGTGAGCTTGAGAACAATCCTTTTACTACTATATTTTTCCTTTTAGATCTTCAAATCTAGTTCTCAATTATCTGGAATTTCTTTGTTTTCTCTGATGACTTAAATTCTCTTTGTTACTTTGTTACTCATCCTTTGTAGGTGGGCAGTGTATAGAGAATTTGAAAAAGGAAGAGCTAAGCCTTGTAATATAATTTAGGACAGAAACATAAACGCCACACATACAGCAGTAGAATAATCTTTGGAAGGATGCTGAAACAGAGAGCTGAATTTACCAAGGGCTCCTGAGGTTCTGACACTGAATGTGGCTCCCTCAAACTTGCCAGGGCATTTTCTGTCCCCTAAGGGCAAGGCGTCTCAGAACTAAATCATTTTATGCTTGGAACTGCTTTTGTCAGTGAGAGGCAGAGACTTTCCAACCCTGGCTAGAGCCTCAGGTTCACAAATGGGGTGTCTTAAATGTGGACCATATACCCCGAATTCCTTTGACTGTCAAAAAAAAAAAAAAAAAAAAAAAAACTGTTGGATAAGGAAAGGGTCCTTCCTATGACAGTGAGAATGGAACAGTAGGACAATAGTCTACTGCAGTGAACCCCTCCCCAAGACTCTTGGTTTTGATGGCTTGTTTTGACATTGTCTCGTTTCTCTAGTACCTTATACTCTTAATGTTATTCAGATGGCCAACTTTCCCATATAATTTATTATCAATATGAGTGTTAAGCTATAATTGCTTTTTCACGGATCTGTGTTTGAGGGTGTTATACCTGGATTCTTATTTCTTAATTCTGTACCACCTCATACAAGTATTTTACTTCAAAAAATAGATGTTTTTAATGGATATGTCATTACTATTTCCAGAAGAAAACTGATCCTCAAAAAACTTAGTACACTTTCCCAAAGCTAGTCTAGAAAGTAATAGAACTGGGCATTGGGCTTTGGCCTGTCTCAGTCCATACCCAGTATTCCAACCACTATTCTGCACTATCTCTGATGAGCAAGGTCTTGCCCTTCAGGGTAATTGAGACTGAGAAGCCTTTTGTTGCTCATCTTCAATGCATGGTGCACTACTGTCACTCTTCTGATGTCCGCTCAAACTTCATTTTACACATCTGTCCCAAGCAGTCCGTGAATCAAAGGGTCTTTGTTTGTTGCCACAACTTCACCTTTCAGTGAGTTCTTCTGGGGAATCCTCTCCCTGTCTTTTGTTTCTGTTTGTGGGTGAGGCTGACCACAGGTGCTGTAAATGGTTTTTCATAGATACCAGTTTATCTGTAATTTCAGTGGACTCTGCAACTACTTCCTCATGAGCTCATTCATGAACACTACCTAGTAATGACCTTTTAGTGTCATTAAAGAGAGGAAACAGCTCATGAAAACAACTTGTAAGCGTTTTACATACTCAGCAAAGCTATATTTAGACTTTATGGCAATTCAGCGAAGTTAGGTGTTGCTGTCCTTATGTTCTATCTGGAGCAATAGAAACTTAAAGAGATAACTTTGTTAAGAGATACAGCTGTTTTAAGGTGGGTCTGGGATCTGTAACCCCAGAGTTATCTGATTCTGTGCAAGTTCTTCTATTTTAGGAAATTTTTTTATTTCTTCCTTTTGATTTTGAAGGCCAGCCATGGTCTACTTTAATGGCATTAAAATATATTTCTCCCAAAGATGTGCATTTAAGTAGTACTCATAACATGATTTCCAATGATATTTTGTTTGTCATTTAAACATATGAAAGGCAGCATAGTGAAACCATTATAACCTCCAAGTTGTTTTTGCATTTACACAAGTGCAGTCATGTATGGCATATTAAACCTTAGTTGTCCAAAGAACAGAGGTAAGAAAGAGCAGACATGGACTGAAATCTCACATTTGACATTGTCGGATGTGAGTTATTTATATTCTCTGAGCTTTAGTTTTCTCAAGAACCAAACAGGGACCATCTAGTTTCCATTTTGGGGGTTTTGTATAAAAGAAAAAAAAAAGGAAGAAAAATAGCATGTGACTGTGCATCTCAAATTGCTAATGGAGTGTCTCAAAGCATTATATAAATATCAGTGCTCTCCAGTCAAACTGATTATATCCACTTAAACTGAGAACTTGTTTAATCCATAGAGTAATCTTGAGACATGAAAGATGTTGTGATAAAATTTAAGAAAAGTAGATTCTATCAGGGTACTCCTAGATTTTGAAGAATTTTTAGGATCTCTTTTATTATTTGAACACAAGAACCCGTATAGCTATACCATTATAACCTCAAAAGTAATTTCTTTTTTTGCATTTACACAACTGCTTTGAGTTTCCCTTTCTTTGTGACCTACTGGACAGTGCTGCAAATTGACTAGGTGGCTCTAAATCTTTTATAAAGAGGAAGCGAGTCACAGAGCTGAAGACACACACTAAGTCAACAGTAGAGTCTGAACTTTCACTTGTGCCAAACACTTCCTCATTCTTTTAGAATCATTATTCCTTTCTTCATTGCCTGTTATCATTCATATGGATTAGGGAGAGGCCAGGTGGAATCAAGAAAAGCTACTTAAGTTAATACCCAACCCATAAGAGAGAGCCTTTCCTGGAGGACCTGAAGGCTCACTGGGGACAAGACAGCTCTGTAGGATTTGTGGAAATTCCCTGATTGCCTCAGGACCCAGAGCTGGGTTTCAGAGATCCTTCCTACTCTTTTTCATAATTCATCTCTTTCAGACTGTAATGTAGGAATCTGCAGTATCTCGAAGTTTGAAAGGCCATCTTTTGAGTAACAGTTTGGTGAGATTGTGCTGTTGCTTTGTGTCAGGCAGTGGAAATGACAGTGGTGGTGTCATCACAGTAAAATAAGAACAAATATTTGTTGATCACTTCTTATATGCCATGCACACTTCTGAACATGTTATCTTCATCAGTCCAGTCAATTCCCTAAATTTGATACTTAAGAGGCATAACTCCCCTTTTATAAATGAGGAAAGTGAGTCACAAAAATTAACAGATCACACAAGAATATCCCTTGGATTCTGTCTCCAGAGCCCTTCATTAGGACACATAGCACCTGTAACATCAGTACTGCATTGCAGACTGGCCTAATCTGCAGGGAATGCAGCACACTGTTTTCAATAGGATGTCAGTAACCATTTTATTATTATTTTTACTAATATTATTTATGATTATAATGGATGTTTTTGAGGTATGACAGGCAGCCTGCCATCTGAGCTGCATCTACACCTTGATCCATATATCTGTGCTTTCTAGATATTTACTTTATCAGTGCTCTGTTGTGGCTGACACTTTCCTCTCTATTCAGAATCAGTGACTTCAGCATTCTGGACCACAGGCTTTCCTTCTTTACCCTACTCTATTCCACTGGTCAGCAAAAGCTACACTTTTGGGTCTCTACCTGCCATGTGCAATAAGTCTTCATAGTCCATCATTTCTCCTCTTGTGGACCAGCTCCCTTTTCCCCTGTTGGACCTTCATTTCCAGTCCCACCAAGGATTTGATTTTCTGGCAGGTTTCCTCATGGTTTTATATATTCAGATGCAGTGTCTGGCCATTGTCCTGAGTTTGTTTAAGGAACACAAGGAACATTTTGCTAATTATGACTGTGGTTATGGAACTCTGTTCATCCCTCATTCTTGTCTAGTCCTTTTTTGAATAGGATAGTGCAGTGATGTGTTTAAAGACAGAATACCTTCTAAGAAATGTGTCTTTGTTGTTGTTGTTTTGTTTTCTCAGATGGGGTTTCTCTGCAGCTTTGGAGCCTGTCCTGCAACTTCCTTTGTAGACCAGGCTGGCCCTGAACTTGCAGAGATCCACCTTCCTTTGCCTTCCCAGTGCTGGGATTAGAGGTGTGCACCACCACCACCCATCAAGAAAAAGTTTCTTGATGACTTCAAGAAATAAGTGCCGGAAACACCAAATAACCCAATTAAAAAATGGGGTACAGAACTGAAGAAAGAATTCTCAACAGAGGAAATCAAAAAGGCTGAAAGACACTTAAGAAAGTGTTCAACATCCTTAGCTATCAGAGAAATGCAAATCAAAACAACTTTGAGATACCATCTTACTCCTGCCAGAATGGCTAAATTAGAAACACCAGTGATGACTTATATTGGAGAGGATGTGGAGAAAGGGGAACACTCCTCCACTGCTGTTGGGAGTGCAAACTCATACAGCCATTTTGGAGATCAGTATGGCGGTTCCTCAGGAAAATGAGAATTAGTTTACCACAGGACCTGGCA